CTCTCTCTCTCTCTCTCTCTCCCAGGAAAATGGCCCCGAATCATAACGATCTCTGTATACTTCATCCAAGGTTCAGTGCTTGTTAAACTTTGCTCGTTTCTTGATTCCAAAAGATCATTACTCTTTAGGGTTGTTGGATCCAGCGGCAATAAACACCCCATTAGGGTGAGGATCACTTATGATTTGTTGTCTAAAGGCGATTGTTATTATCTTTTTTTCTTTTTGTTTTTATTCTTTTTATTTTCATTTTTCAAAACAATTCCATTCGAAAAAATGTGGGGCAAGGAGAATGGCTGAGTATCACGTTCCCTAAGAGAAAGAGAAAATATATTTAAGTCGGTGCTTGCTTACCGAGAAAATATATGTACACAATAAACTTTATCAGGCAAGTGTTCGTGCATGGAACAAGTTTTCTGCAGCTCCAAAAGAGGAAGGGGCTTTTCCTCAAAGTGCTTTTCAAAAGTTCGAGAAGAGTTTTGTGCAAATCACTCAAGACTCGGTGCTGTTGGTGGATTTTTTTTTTCTTTTTGAAAAGGGGGATGGGGAGTTACTCACTCAATTCTAACAATGTTTGCAAGACTCGGCCCTGCAAAAGTTAGGGATCAAATGCTTGGCTTCATCTAGTTTAGCACTTAAGACCGCTTCGCTACTGGAATAAGGCGGAAGGTGTTTCGCTTACTCTCTCTCTCTCTCTCTCTCTCTCTCTCTCTCTCTCTCTCTCTCTCTCTCTCTCTCTCTCTCTCTCTCTCTCTCTCTCTCTCTCTCTCCTTCTCTCTCTCTCTCTCTCTCCTTCTCTCTCTCTCTCTCTCTCTCTCTCTCTCTCTCTCTCTCTCTCTCTCTCTCTCTCTCTCTCTCTCTCTCTCTCTCTCTTTCTCTTTCTCTCCCTCACAGACACATACACAAACTTCTTCATTTTTGTCCGCGTTTTAGTTTATTATTACATTCCATCCTCATGGAAACCCATTATAGTACTAGATATCTAAACGTGAATTCTCTTCCATTGAATTTACCATGTCTAACATCCCCCTTTATCATCACTCTTTAACCTTTCTCCTTTACCTCTCTCCCTGTTTTATCCCTCACCCGATCCCTCTCAATCCCCCAGTGCTTCTTAATCCCTCCCTTCTTCCTCGAGTTTCCCTCCCAATTTCTTCTTCTCTTCCCTATCACCTTCCTTGTCTCTTTCCTTCCCTTATTAAGTCCTGCACTATCATCCTTCCCCGTTTCTCTAGCCCTTTCTTTCCCTCCTCGCTTGCCTTCTCTCCCTCTCTCCACCAAGCCACTCCTTCTTTCAATCTCTTCTTATCCCTCCCTCTTCTTGCCCTTCTGAAGCCTCCTCCCTTCTTCCCTTCCCTCTCTCTGTCTCCCTTCCCCTCTGAATCCCTCCCTCTGCTCCCCTCCCTTCCCCCCTCCCCGTGCGAGCAGGTGAGGCGTGACAGTGGACGAAGTGATATGTCCACCAGACTTACTTAATGGCCTGAAACCCCGGGCGAAGCTTGAGAAATGTCTCTTTGTCTTAACACTTCTTCTTCCACTCCCCTCCCCTCGCTGGGTCTCCCCTCGCCTAACCCCCTAAGACCCTCTCCCCCCCCCTACCCTCTCTTGCATCACCCCCACTCCCCCCCCCCCCATCCCCACCGCGTTGTTTCTCGCCCACTCGCCTCGCCCCCCCTCCTCCTTCTCCCACACTCACCCATGTTTCTCGAAGATTAGTCTTGAGACTTCGTACATCATCTCTGTTCACTGTCCGTGGTCATGCGAGGTCCGTGTACGTAATGGCTAAACGGTGTTTGGTTCTGCGGTTCGGATCGTCTTCCGGTTTTCTTTGTCTTGACATGTTATCATTTTCTTTAGTGTTTTATTTATTCTCGTTCTCTCTCTTTCGCTTTGTCTGTCTGTTTGCCTGTCTCTTTTTCTCGGGAGGGGGGGAGGGGGAGGGTCATAGTCTGTTTCATTTTCTATTCTTTTTCTTATCCTCTTCTTCCTCCTCCCCCTCCTACACTTCAACTTTATGTCTCATACATTTTTACTCTGACCTCCCCGCGACCCCTCCTCCATCTCTTCCTCCTCGTCGTCTTCCTCTTCTTCCTCTCCTCCTCCTCTCTTCCTTCTTCTTCTTCTTCTTCTTCTTCTTCTTCTTCTTCTTCCTTTTCTTCTTCTTCATCTTCTTTCTATTCTTCTTCTTTCCATCATCATTTTTTTCTTCTTCCTTTTCTTCTTCCTCCTACTCCTCCCCTCTCTTCTCTTTCTTTTTCTTGCCTCCTCTTTTTCCTCTCCCCTTTTCCTCCTCTGCCTTCTCCCTCCCCCGCCCACCCTTCCTCCATCCATTCCTAATAATTCCAACACCTTATTTGCCCATTTCCCCAGCTAACCGCCTCATCCCATTAACCCCCAACCCCCACTATAACTTAACCCCCCCCCCCCCCACGCCCCCGCCCTCAGCCCCATCTTCCTCTTAACACAAAAGCTACCATTAAGCTTGGTAAATACATGTCTCCGTCTTCTTCTTCTTCTTCTCCTTTTTTTTTCTTCTTCTTCTTCTTCTTTTTCTTCTTCTTCTTCTTCTTTTTCTTCTTCTTCTTTTTCTTCATCTTTCTTCTTCTTCTCCTTCTTCTTCTTCTTTTTCTTCTTCTTTTTCTTCTCCTTCTTCTTCTTCTTCTTCTTCTTCTTCTTCTTCTTCTTCTTCTTCTTCTTCTTCTTCCTCTTCTTCTTCCTCTTCTTCTTCCTCTTCTTCCTCTTCTTCTTCCTCTTCTTTTTCTTTTTCTTTTCCTTTTTCTTCTTCTTCTTCTTCCTCCTCCTCCTCCTCCTCCTCTTCCTCCCCCTCCTCTTCCTCCTCCTCCTCCTCCTCCTCCTCCTCCTCCCCCTCCCCTCCCCTCCCCCCTCCCCCTCCCCCTCCCCCTCCTCCTCCCTCCTCCTCCTCCTCCCCCTCCCTCCTCCCCCCTCCTCCTCCTCCCCTTTTCCCACTCCTTCTCTTCATCATTAACTTCTTATTCTTATTCTATTTTTTTTTTTTTTCTACTTCTCCAGTGGGTGATAAGGACTCTTCTCAAGGGCGTCGAAAATGTCTCCATAATCTTCGGTTATCTGCTGGAATGGCCGTTCGTTCCTCATAACCTGTTGTGTTATCTCGAAAACAATTTGCTTCTTTTCTTCTTCGTTTTATTTATTGGTTTATACTATTGGTTGTTTGTTTTATTTGTTTGTTTACGTGTTTAGTTATTTATTCGTTTGTGTTGTTTAGTTGGGAGGGTGTTTTATTTTTTTCTCTATGTGGTGTAGGTTACTTTTTTCATCTTCACCCATTTCTTCTTTCCCCGTCTTTTCTATTCACTACCTTCCTTCCCTCCTTCCTCATCTTACCTTTTTCGCTGTCCATATTACCTACCTTTTCCTCCCCCCTTTCCCCTTCTTTATTTCCCTCTCCCTTTGGCCTTCCTACCCTCTCTTAAACCCTTCCTGCCTCCCTCTCCCTCTGCCCCCCCCCCCCAACCTCTCGACTTTGATTCAGAGAAAGCTAAAACATTCTTTTTCCTGCTCCCCTTCGTACCTTTCCCTCCCTTACCCACCTCCTCCCCTTCCTACCTTTCCCTCCCTTACCTACCTCCTCCCCTTCTACCCCTTCCCTCCCCCCCCCCCCCTTGCAGCCTGACCTACATTGTCTTTTTCCCTTGATTTCCACTTCCTTAATTGGGTAGGAGCTGAGTGGGGTGCGTCCTAATAAGGTAATGAAGTTTACAGGTCAGGGTGATGGGAAGGGAAGGGGGGAAACGAAGGAAGGGAAGGGGAGAGGGAAGAAGGTATTGGGATGGGAAGGCGAGGAAGGAGAGAGGAAGAAGGGATGGGGAAGGAGAGGTAACGATGAGGGAATGGGAGGAAAGAAAAGGGGTATGAATGGGTGGGGAAGAGGGTGGGGATGGCAGGAATTTAGGAAAGGGATGGAAGAGAACGGGTAAAGATGGGTAAAGGGGGATAGAGAAAGGGAGAAGGACGGAGGCGTTAGGGGAGAAGTGAAGAAAGGGAGGGGTAAGAAGAAGTGGAAAGGAATACTTTAAGGGGGGAAAGGAGAAAATGGGTATGGGAAAGGGGTGGATAAGACGAAGCAATGATTGATGGAAAGTAATGAATAGGGAGAGGAAGAAATCGGGGAAGCAGGGGACAGGGTACTAGAAAGGAGATAAGGGTGAGTAGAGAGAGGTAGATAAAAAGGGGAAAGGATAGAAAGGGATGGGTGACGGGGAAAAACAGAGGAGGTAAGGGGGGGGTGAAGGTTTAAGAAAAGGTAAAAAGGACTCGGGAGGAAGAGAATGGGCAAGGATGAAACGGGGAGAAAGCAACAGAAGGCATGAGAGGGAGGAATGAGAGAGGAGAGAGAGGGCGATGGGGAAGAGGATGGAGTGGGTGAGAAAGGCATGAAATGAGGGAGGTATGGGGGAGGGGGGTTAAGGGGAAGGCGCAGGTGTTGAAGCGGCGAAATAGGGGAAGGGACGAGGAGAGGAGGTAGGTAAGAGGGAGAGTTGAGTGATGAAAGGGAAGGAAGGGGGGAGGGGGGAAGGGATGTGGCTGCAGGAGATGATGGCCCCGTGAATTATGTCTCATTAGACCGTCATTAAGTCCTGTGAAGGTGAAATGGACGGCGATGACAGAGGGGAACGTCTCTCATCCGACCTTCGAGGGGTGGGTGAGGGGAGAGAGGGAAGGGGACGTAGAGGTTTAGGGATAGAGTTGCAAAGGAAAAAAAGGGATGGGGGAAATGAAGGAAAGGGGGAAAAGGAAGGAAAGGGAAGGGGGAAAAGAAGGAAAGGGAAGGGAGGAAAATTAAGAAGAGGGGAAAGGATAACAGATAAGGGACGTAGAGGGTAGAAGAGAGGAAAGTGAGGGAGATAGATAGGAGAGACCTTGAAAGGGGAGAGAGAGGAGGAGAAGAGGAGAGGGGAGATTGCACTGACGATAGGAGGAGAGCTGACACACAGGGGCGGGGAAGGGGGGGTCAGGAAGATGGAAGGTTCGGGGAAGGAAGTCACGGCTGGAAAGGAGTATGGGGAAAGGGGGCAGAAAGGAGGAGGGGGGGGGGGGTAGAGTGTGTCGTTGACCTTTTGCATGTTTTGCTTCTTTGCACTGGAGGGGATGAGGCACCTATTGAACTTTTACTTACTCTAGACCTTTTGCTATTATTTATTTGCACGCACGGGGAGCTTCAGAAAAGTAGGAGTCTGGCATATTTCATGAAGGTCAGGTGTATCTTTGCTTTCCGTGATCAACATTTTGAATCCTTAATCTATGTGCATTATCCATCGAGTTAAAAAAAATCTTTCTTCCTTCATACCTTTCTTTTTTTCCCTACCTCTTTGTTCTCTCCTTCTTTAACATAAATTAGTGCACTAGACACACAATCAGTTACCATTTCGTAATCTCTTCGCCCATCTTGCAGCTTCCTTTCAACATAGATCAACATCGGCACAGTGATTATGCATTCTCATCCAGGTGACCGTGGTTACACTACCCTTACGATAATCGGCAGTTAATCATAGTGAAAATAAGCATAATAAATTTTCCCGATATTCATCATAATGTTACCTGATAATGAATCTTGATATATCTTTATAAAGATAATACCAATAATGATAACAGAAACTACAACAAAAATAAGAATGGCAATGAAAAGAAATAATAAAAGAAAAATAATAATAAGGATAGGAATAATAACTGTTAATATTACAATCATTATTACTGCAACAAGAGGAGAAAGAGAACCCAATCAATAAAACCAACTAGATACCAGCCCTATCCACTATTACGCTATAGAAACCGACCTAAAACCATCCCCGGGCTTGGAGCGTGACGTAATCACCAAACGAGTTATAGACTTCGTTATAGATTTCGTTATAGACTTCGTTACGTATTCCTCGTGTGAGCTCGCCTTGCGCCCATCCAAAAGAGCTTGTTCTCCGGACGGTGATTGGGGAACGTGGCCTCCGTTTTCGTATTTATGGAGTTCGATTACTTGGCCCATTTTTCACTCGCGGGACCTTTTTTGAAAATGATTTTTTTTTAAATATATAGGATGGACACGAAGGGAAAGGAAGATGGGAGAGGGAGGGAAGGGGGAGGAAATGGGGAGGTAGGAAGGAGGGAAAGAGGGAGAGAGGGAGAGAGGGAGGGAGGGAGGGAGGGAGGGAGGGAGGGAGGGAGGGAGGGAGGGAGGGAGGGAGGGAGGGAGGGAGGGAGGGAGGGAGGGAGGGAGGGAGGGAGTAAGATGGGAGACGGAGGGAAGGAAAGAAAGAGGAAGGGAGGAAGGAGGGGAAGAAGGAGGAATATGTCAATAAGCTAGAAATCAAGTGAGGGAGAGAGACAGACAGACAGACAGACAGATAGACAGAGACAGAGATACAGATTGAGCGAGAGAGAGAGAGAAACAAACCAACAGACAGAGCGAGAGAGAGAGAGGGAGAAAGAGATAAATAAAGCATTTTTTTATCGTTAACGAGAATGGTTGTCCTTGTTGCTGTTTTTCTTTCTTTCTCAACTAGCTGGCATTAGGCCTAAAGACCCTAATTCCTAAAACCCGCGGGCATTATCGAGTCAAGAGCATGGCAGGCATACGAACAACCATCACAAAGATGATGATTCTTGAAAAACGATGAAGAAAGCACAAAACACAAACGTTAAAGTGTATTTTTTAGTATAGATGAATCAATGGACTGGTAGATAGATGTAGTCATTGGTTTGATAGACAGGTGGGACGAACGGTAAAGGGCTTTAAGGTGAATTTAATGGATGGTTTTCCCCGATTGATTACATAACAAGATGGAGGCGCGTAGGAGGGTTGACGAAGTAGATAAAGGTAATTATATTGATGAAATATCTTCCTACAGACATGCAGATATAGATACTTACCTATAAATAAATACACGGGCATCCAAACAAACAAACTGTCGCATACACATTGTCACACACATCCCATTCACACGGATATATGTACATATATGCAAGTCCAGCATACCAAATGTATATATTTATATATGCATGTATGCATGCATATATTCAGCAATAAATTTCAAAACTGGAATTAATTCGCTCACCCTATATTCAGCCCGAATGAAAGTCTAAACAGATGAATGCATAAACATCAAGAATAAATAAGCAAATACATCCAATAAATGACGAGCCCCGACTTACCTATCCTCAGTGACTGTGCTGAAGGACCAGAGGGAGGAGAGAGACGCTCCCGTCGAGTCCGAGGACTGTCCGGATTCGATTCCGCCGTAGCGATGTTCGTTTGAGTCCGGAATGCCACCCGGGGGAAGGTCTGGGGAGGAAGGAAAAGGCATGTGATGAGAACTCGATTGCGAAGGTCCGCTTTACTGAGCAGGGTTTCACGGTCTGCATCTTTAGTGTGTGTGTTTTTTTTCCTTTCCTTTTTTAAACCCTTCCACTAATAGATATAATTAGATGACTAAATAAATGATTCAATTTTCATCTTATCTGTGGAAAGTGAAGGAA